TTAAATGTGTATTAAATCACCATTTAGCTACATTAATTAATTTATTTTCATTACTGAATATCTATTTAATCTTAAAATCAAATGTATTTGATATTCATGTATAAATAAATATCTAATTATAAGAAACATCAAAACTAGATCAAGAAGTATCTCTAAATTTAAGAATAGAATATTACTAACATATTTATATTAGGTATAACATATTATCATCTTCATTGTCACTAAATTTAGAATATAGTTAAATTTATATTGATCAACAAATAAATTGTTAAATATAGTATCAGTTATTATTTACAGTAAATTATCAATAATAAATTATTTTTACCTCTATTAATTGACTTTAAAGGACCAGTAAAAGTTAGGGCAAACATGAATTTTGATCAACTATTTGCATACAATGTCATCATGTTCAAACCACTTTGAACGAAAAAATCAATCATTGTCTTAAAATTATCATCACAGACCATCGACATAAAATAATATTGATGTTCATAAATTTGACACCTCCAAGTTATTTCAACATCAATATTATTATAATTCCATCCAATTTCATGACAAATAATTGCTTTCATTTCTGCATAGAACATACTTAAATTACTATCTAACAACAAATTGCTCCTATCATTATATATGATATTAATGTTTACATCAGGAACAATAGTGTCATTGTGATGACATAACATAAATATATTATAAGATATTCTGTAAAAAAAATCAATTTATAGTCAATTGAATGTAGTTTTGACTAAATTGCATTACCTCAACCCTAATTGATAAAATTCATAGCAAATTCAATCAAATTTCATCAAAACTAAACATAATTCATGATACAAAATTTAATGGATATTTTCATGATCAATTCCATTAAATCAAATCCAAATTAATATAAAATTAAAAATATCAAATTTATCAACTTATCAACAATTCAATGCAACATGTAATTCATCATAATTCTATCACATTTATTCTCTATTGCATTAGATCATAAAGCGTGATTAATTATGTTATTAGTTGATTTCAACAATCCACATAAAATTTCTAATTCCGTAACTTACTCAAAATTAAACGCAACACACAATTAATTAAAATAATTAATTCATAATTAATTTAAATTATTTTCATGTTCAACTATATCAAACCAATTCTAATTGATGATTTTTTAAAATAATTTATTATTAATTCAACGAACTCTAAATTCACTATGAATCTTAAATTCAACTTAAACAATTATTTTATTTGAATCAAATCAAATACAAACTCAGAATAATGTAATATATTTAACTTGCTTGTAGCACTAGACAATGGGCTAGGTATCTGCTAGCAGTGGTGGCAATAATGGATTTTTAATAGAATAATGATAAAAAATGCTTAGATACTAAAGTGAATTTGATTTATGCGTGTTTCAAGGGGAAAAAATAATTGTTTTGTGAGTTTTATAGAGAGATATGAGCTAAGGGCATCGGTTTGTAGATAAAGAGAGGGAGCTCCTTATGCATTTTATATTTTTTTATCTGAAAAAGTATTTAAATGTCATGACATTTCATGCTTTTAAAGTGTGTTATTTCATCGAAATTTTTTTAAATAGTGATATTTTATCAAAATTTATAATTTATTATCCTAATTTTTTAAAAAAGCTTTTTTTTCAATTAATCAGTACCAAATCCATGTAAAACATGCTTAATTGTTTGTGTCATCAAATTAATATAGCATCCATCAACTGGTAAAGGCCAATAATAATAGCCATAGCCGCCTGATGCCACTTGTCAATTATTATTAATTTATAGGAGGATAAGATAGGTACATGCAAAATGGCTAAGTGCCATCTTAGTTGACGTGGCAATCATTTGGCAATAACTCGAGCATAGAACACATTTCTTCGGCAGAGGCATTTTCGGCTTTTTAGGTCACATTGAGATAGGAAGTCCATGATTGGGATCGATCCATGATTTTCTTCGCCTGCCTTGAAATATTTAGCTGCATTAATTAGTTCATACTTGGGCCGGAGAACGACGCCGTTGATCAAACGATAGCCCAAATGAGGATGGATGCTATTATAAAACCTAAGCCACGTGGAGAAATCATTATAAATTAGCTGATTTACTGCAATAGTGAATTCAAGGAAATAGTCTTTTTCCCAGGTTTATTTATCTTTTTAAAATTGTTTTAGAGTATCTCAGTTTTTTCATATTTGTACAAAAAGAGCACTTGTTAAAATAAATAAATGAAAACTATAACCTTAATAAAGGAAAAAAAAAAAAACGAGTCAAAATTACATGGTATTTAATATATATACTGGGAGAGAACAAAAGTTTTGTATCAAAACGTAAAATTTCAAACTACATGCACCTAAAATGAAAATGGCAAAAATTCACCAGCCAAAACCATAAAAAAAATCATGGAATGAACAATGTAAAGAAAAACAATGTCAAATTTAGTCCCCCAAGTTTTAATTTGTTCCTAATAAAATTATATTCTATTTTGCAAAATTACACATCAATCTAATATCAGGATATTTTCTTTTCTCAGTGTGATAAACTCATTGAAAACAATTTGAAATAAATCATTATGCTCAATTCTCAATAAATGCAATGCAAAAGGATTTAATTGAAAGAAAAAAATTGTTTAATGACTGAAATGGAAAAAATTGAAAGAACAAAAAAAAAAAAAGGAGGACCGTGCAAATTCACGATAAATTATGTTTTATTGCAAAGTGCTTCTACAATAAATCATCCACACCTACCTCTTAGGTTTCTGTTAATCCTTCCTGAAATTTACCACCAAGTAGAAAATCCATTAATAATAATAATAAAAAAAAAACTGTACTAATAACATTGTGGCTACGCAGCATGGTAAATAAAAAAACCATCGTGTTCATGGTTACTATGTTTGAAATATATATATAAAAAATTATGATTGTTTTTTATATATTATTCATATTAATTGCATTATTTATTGAAAATATAATTAATATAAATAATATTAGCATGCAAGTAACATGAACAATATAATATGTTGCAATGTTTAATAAATAATGCAATTAGTATGAAAAATGTAGTATGTTATATTGTTTCGGTCGGACCAATTCTAGCCGGACTGGGTCTAATTCAAAGCTTAACATATATTGAACCGAGTTTGATCCAGTAAAATAAAAATTATTTTTTATTTTTTAATTGTATTTTATTTAAAAAACTAGTGTTTAATATTATTTAATGACATTAGATGAATTAGATAGAGATCGCTTGATGAAGTAGCATTTGCAAAATTTGATCGCAATTCTAATTTTGTTTTTAATTATATTTTACATGATGTTGTTGTGCGCTTAAGAAACTAAAAAAACTATAGTCCTTATTAGATATATTTCATACATGATAGAATTGTAGATAATTTAATGGAACAATGAAAAATATTTTATATAAAATATTATTTATTTCATAATGTAATAACAATAGTTAAATATATAATATTTAAATTAAAAATCATCAATATTAATATATATTTTTTAAAATTATTTTATAACTTTAATTTCAAAAGCATTATTAACTAAGAAAATTAAACTACTTTTTATTCAACCTCAATTTTAACCATAATTTTAACCAAACATATATAAATATTAAATCAACCTCAACCAAAAATATTTTTTATAAAATATTTTTTTAAACTATAACTATAATAATCACTACACTTCCAAATATACTTAGTTGTTTTGTTTATATCTCAAAAACATAACAATAAAATTTAAATAAATATCATTTAATTGTTTTAAATATTTCTATGTACAATACAGTAACTATTCATCAAGTACTGCTTTTATAACACCGAACGTAACAGCAATACAACATTACCTCTAATAACAGGCGAAGACCTGGGGCCCGCAAAGCAGAATCCGAAGGCCACGCTCAAAACTGGAGGCCTGGATCATTTTAGCCCACTTTCCAAGTCACTTGAAATTTCCCTGCGCCGTGGGTGCACATGGAGGAGGAAAAAAGGGCCCAGTGGCAGAACAAATTGTTCATCAACAATTTATATTACACTGAGTATTCGAGATCAAGGTAGTCCGTATGTTTTTTTATAAAACATTTTTAATTTTTTTTAATACCATCACATTAAAAATAAAAAAATAAAAATTTAATTTAAAATATTTTAAAAAATATGATTTCAACCATCTTCTCAAAACTATTTTAATGACGATTAATCTCACTTTAAACAGACAAGTAATCGGATAAATTTTAGCTGAAAAATCCAAGGTAATTTTGAAAATATGCGCAAATGTAGATTTTGCATCTGCATGAAATTTTCCACAAACTTTGAATGCCTTAGAAGATATAAATGTCTGGATTGTTAACACAAATAAATATGAGAGAAATATTTTCAAAACCCAGAAAAGGAGTCAACGAGGGAGCCGAAATTCCAAGATGGTTTGAATGTAAAACTGGTGCTTGGCCTTACAAATCTAACAATTGTTGGAATTCGGCGCACCCAGTTGAAGGCTCCATCTTAAATTTATTCTTTCGTAACAAATAATAAGATTAGGAGGAACTAATGCATCTAGTTACGCGAAAGCCATTACAGCCACCGTCCATCATCTGGGCTTAAAGCCTCTTTATATAACCAACTAAGTTTGTTTTTGTATTTTATGATTTTTTTTAATTTTTTTAAAATATTTTTAAATTATAAGATGTATCTGGGTAGTCATTGCTTCCATACGAATTGACATACGAAGCTCAAAAGCGTTGTTGGCAAACTATGTGCCAAAACAATGTGAACAGTAGAACGCTATATTGTTTGCTTTTTTGTTAGCTTAGCTTGTAAGGATACCCTAGAATCCAGATAATTGATTGCATAATACTAATTGGCCATAACATTAAGCAGCGAATGACCGCATCAAAGGACACCTTCAATACTACATTCAGATTGTATTTGAACTGAAATTAGTGTATACACATAATGTTTGATTTTGATGTTGTCATGAAATGTCTGCAACGAAGAATGATCATCGGTCTCCTAGTATAATAACACTTTGTTCTTATAGCAAGAACAAGTTCTAAGCGCTTCCATCGCACTCGGGCAGTTAATTATCAATGTATTTAATCAAATTCAACACAATCCCACTATAATTCATGTGGGTTTATTTATACTTCATCAAACCATCGAAGTATTGACTGTGTTCGTACATGCTGGCATGCCTATATGAAGGCACATGTATGTAGACGGTATGCTTGGTTCTAAAACTATAGGCTAAGCAATTTGATAAATTGATATATGCTACTCACAAATTAGAAGCATGCTAGATATTTCAAGCTTCGTCAGCTTGATTATGCTAAGAAAAAAGTCTACTGGTTATTCTGAAACATCGTGTCCAAGTTTGAAAGGGAAACCATACACGCGTAAGTCAATGGAAGCTGCTGAAGTTTCCAAGCACAATCAATCCCCTATTTATTATACCAAATTTACACGTTAGAAGTTATCAGGTTCCATCTAAAGAGGTCTCCACCCGCACAAGATATGCCTGAACTTCCAAAATTGCCTGAAAAAATACAGAGCAATCCAACAAAGTAACCGCGTCAATGGACGCGGCCAATATCTCCAACTTCGATGTCCCTCTTGGTGCTAAGACAAATTCACACCTACCCAACTAATCATCTTCTTACAATCCCTTCTTATATATACACTCACGAACACATTCATAGCAGACCAAATCATATCTGAACAATCTCAGAGTAGTCGTTTTATCTCTCACAGCACATTTGTCTACTCTCCTTTTGTTTTCTGACCAACCAGAACAACTCTGTAATGGCAGAGAAACAAGCTCATTTGAATGGGGCCTCTTATGGTCCGTCAATCCCACCTCCGCCACACTACCACCGCCCTGGCCGTGGTTCTGACTGTGGCTGCTGTTGTTTCTTGGCCTTCCTCCTCAAAGTCATCATCACCGTGGCCATGCTTATTGGGCTTTTCATCCTTATTATCTGGCTCATATTTCGTCCCATTAACAAGGTCGAATTCCATGTCACAGACGTTGCTTTAACTCAGTTCAACTACACCAACAACATGCTCCAATTCAACCTTGCTGCCAACATCAGTATCCGCAACCCTAACAAAAAGATTGGAATTTACTATGATAGGATAGAGGCCAGGGCATTTTATGACGACCAGAGGTTTGGCTATCATGCCTTGACTCCATTCTATCAAGGACACAAGAACACAAGTGTCTTGAACGTAGTTTTTAAAGGGCAGCAAGCAGTTACCCTTCAAGGTGAAGAGTTGACACGGTTTAATCAAGAAAGAACAAGTGGGTTATATAGTATTGCCTTGGAGTTGTCCTTGAGGATTAGATTTAAGCTTGGTAAGGTCAAGACTGCAAGGTTCAAGCCCAAGGTTGAGTGTGACGATTTGAAGATTCCTCTGAACGGATCTCCTGTTGCTGGGAGTAATAACAAGTGCGAGATCAAGTTTTGATGATCATCATGGTCGCAAAGCCTCATCTTAATATTTGATTCAATCTTTGATTGGTTTTGTTTGATATTATTACTATTTTTTTTTTACCCTTATCATGCTTTTATGTTCATAGTCAGAGACTATATTGGATTTTTTTTTTCTTTTCATTATGTTGATGTATATAATTAATAGATAATGAATTTAGTATTTCTCTGAGATGCATACCACTTGTTAAAATCATTACTAATAACATAAGAAACACCCTCTTATTAGCTTTGAATAAACCATCTAATTAATCGGCCATTTTAAAGAGATGTGAATCTTGAGCGGCCATCATGGATTCTTCAATATTTCACAGAAGAAACGACAAGGGAAAAGAACGACCAAAGAAACTAGCTACAGCAAATCAGTGCTGCTTGTAGCAGACTTGTCAAGGCAAAACCCGCATTGCATGAAGATTATGTGCCAGAGAGTAATCAGTAAGGTTGTACAAGAGAGATCATCAAGATCTTATGATTTCTCCTTGAGGCTTTATTTGAAGCGAGATTCACGAAGACTTTAATTTTTATATTTTCATAAAAACTAATGTTTTAAGATAGAGCAATTTATGCCGGTGTAACGCCAAAAATGTCCTTTGAATAAACCAGCCTCTAATCAACTAGTGCTGATATTTATTAATAGCGTATTTGGTAAGGGTGGTTGGTGCGTCTGTTTCGTGGTGACAATAAACAAGGGGTTGATTTTATTGCTATATGTTGTGAATGTTATGAGGGGATCTTCATATGCACAAGGAAATAATTTGGACATAAACAATAAAAGACATTAATCTCCTAGAATTAATTAAGGTGTATCAGTTATAGAAACTAGAATAATAAAGAATCAATTATCTTGCCGAGAGCAGATAATAAATAAATACACATGATGACATGATGACTTCTTGCTTCTATAGTTGGATGCATTCTTCTTCTTCTTTTCTTTTATAATTTAGTTGGATATTTGGATATGTTCTTACATTTCAATTGGTTCTGTATTATTATTTTCGTACTAATTTTTTTTTTTAAGATTACTTTCTGCATGATATCATATAAAATATCATATACAATTATATTAAAATTAAATTATTATTATTATTATTATTATTATTATAAATAAAGCTAAAAGGGGTGGGGAGAATACTCTTTTCCAATAGCCATTATCATAGTAGATTACAATAATAATTTATAGCATTTTTTTTGGCATTTTGACTCTTTTTTTCCCTTTAATTATTGATTTTTTAAAATTTGATTCTTGAAGATTTATAATAGATAATTTTCTTTAATTTGCCATCTTTATATAGTTGTTACAATATTAAAAAAATATCTCAGCAATATGTATCAAAAAAATATCTCAATATCGTGGTATGATTTGTTTTTTTTTTAAATTAATTAAATAAAAAATATATTTTAAAACATTAGGTTATTAAACTTCATGGAATCAATAACCTAATTTTTGAGTTTGATGAGATAACCCTGGTTGCCCTGTTTATTGGTTTAGTAGGGTGCCTTTTTTTTTTCTAATTAAACTCGATTATGTGATTGTCTATTTTTCTTCAATTTCAAACTTTAATATTAGACTGATTGTGAATTGAGTTTCATAATTTGTTTCATTATTTTCTATAAGATTATCATAGTCTTAAAAAAAATCTCGGTATTGGTTTGAAGCTCGAATTTATGATCATCTATTTTTATTATTATATATTTAAATAAATAATAGTTTAGAAAAAAACAAGGTATTAATCCCAATTAAATTCATTATTTAGTTTGTGAGTTTGACGTGTTGACTTGGGTTATCTAATTCACGGATTTAGTGGGTTTACCTATTAAACATGATATGTTTTTTTTTAGTTTATAGTCCTTTAATTTTTTTAATCGTTTTTTTATTTCACTCTTATTTAATATTGAATTGGTTGAAAAATAAAATTCATGGTTTATTTTTTTCTATTTTCTATAGGGTTGTCATGATTTCAAATAAATATTTTTTTAGGGTTAATACTTGATTTTGAAAGCATGTTATAATAAAATTAAATAAAAATATTTTACAAAAATAATAAAGTTATTAAACCTATCAAAATCCATGATGCATGTCACGGGATAACTGAGGTTGACTCAATTTAGCATCGTCTCAATATATAAAAAAAAAAAATTATCATCTTAAAGCTTTTTTTTTTAAATTATATTATATTTTTACCAATTATTTAAGTTGTTTTTAAATTATTAAATTCATAATTTTAAAACCCGACCCGATTAAGTGATTGGGTCACAAGTTAGATGGGTTGACCCGGATCAACAAAAAAAAACACCTATAAAAAAAAATATATAACTAGTTACAATGACAGTCTCATTGTTAATCACACATAACAGGAAAAAAACTACTCAGTTGATGCTATAGAAAATTAACAATGACAGCCCATGGTTTTCATTCAATACAAAAAAATTAACAATGCAATTAACACAATACATGTTCAACACAATACACTGAATGCAATGAGAGCAATGCTATTCCTGGAACTTTTATAAGATGTAGAATTTTTAATTTTCTTTCATTTCCTTATTTTTTTCTATTGAAGGGTTTCTTAGACCCTATTTTATTGTAATATTTAACTTAATTTCCTACAAAATATTTCCCTTTTAAACTCTAACAGAATTACAAAAATGTTAGTATTGATCATTTGAGTTTAATTCCTGTCTTGGAAAATAAGAAATAGCTAGAGACACACAAGACTTAAACCTCACCATAATTTTCGTATTCTTATTTTTCTTAGAAAAAATGCGCAAACATAACAAAGGATGCAGGCCATTAGGATATTTAATAAAAATATGCTTTCAAGATCACTGGGTTTTGACATTGAAATGGCTTTAAGAACACCAACGATTCATTTGAACTAATACTACTTTGATAGTATTATTCTGTAAAACTAGTAGTCGGCATTTTTATTCACAACTCCTCATAACATGTATTGAATTTTTTTGGGGTTTTCTTTTATATGAAAATGGCTAAAAATAGCTAATAATATACTAAATCATTTGAGCTAAAAACCGTGGACAAAAACTAATCTATAAAGATCAAGATTCAAGCTTTAACCATGCAATACGCAATTAATTGCTTTTGATCAAACGAGCAAAACCCAGAGTGTTTTCAATTTAACAATGCTTATGTCCATGAAATAAAGCACATGCCTTTGACTAAATATGGGTTAGTTCACACTCCTTACATTTTCACACACTCTTTTATGCTTTAAAATTCCCAAGTCTAACAGTGATATAAGACCAAAAAAAATAAAAGAAAGAGTAGTTGCAATACTAACCGAAAGAGACAGCAGGTGCAATAGGCCAGGACGCGGAGGTCGAAGGAAGAGAAGAGGTAGCGGCAGCGGTAGGAGGTCCTCTGCTCTTTTGTCCAGATGTTCTTTGCGATCAGCTGGGTTTCAATTAGGTTTGCAAATTGTAACTGATATTGCTTTGTTCTTCTTCAATCTTTAGTGTTTTGGCCTTTTAAAAGACCAAAACGACGTCGTTTAATGACTAGCAATATAAAAACTAATAATCGGGTCTCACCCGGGTTTGACCAGGTGGACTGGGTCCCGGGTCCTGAGTCGACTGGGTTTCCCCGGCCAATTCCCATCCGGGTTTTTGCCTCCACTCGGACTGGTCTCAGGCTCGGGTCGGCCAAGTTCCAGATCAACCCATCGAGTCGGTTTGAGTTTTAAAATACTGATTAAATTGAATAATTTACTTTAAATTAGCTTATAAATAATTTAAATTAAAACTCAAATTAGATGATAAATTAATCTTATAAATTTTAACAAATTTAATAATACTGCTAAAAAAGACTTCATACTGAACATTTTTTTTTAAAGCTTATAATAAAATAGTTGATCCACAACAAAGCGGATAAATACACTTAATTATTAATTAAAAAACTAAAACATGTAGTTTTTAGTGTTATTGGTACTGTGGACATAGAGAGAAACCCACTGTGGATTTCAACTGTGCCTAGGTTAAGCTGGGTTGGTGAGTGCTGCTCTGTAGCTCATGGACATGAGTTGCTGCTACAGGGAGTCAGCTGATCAAGAGCTTCGTAGCTGGTTTAGAGGATGGACTGGACTCTGTCTCCCCGCGATCATCTCTTCAATTGTTTTTGTGCTTGGGTTCTGCTTCTCCGCCTTGTTATATGGCGTTGCTTTGGTTTGGGTCCCTTTGCAACTTGCCTAATCTTTCATGATTGCGCTTTAAATGCACCTTGTGGTTGTTGTTTGTTGGGATTGGACATGTTGTTGGCTGGGAATGCTTGGTTCGTTTTGCTAATATGTTGGTCTCTCCTGCCTCTATTCAAGTCCAGTTGTTGTTGAACCAGATAAGAGGCCTTTTTGGTTTCCTCATTTACCTTTTGTTCCTACTGGTTCAGGGTGTGTCCCATCATGCTTTTTTCTGGTCATTTCGGTTGGGATTGAATGTCATGTTCTTCTTGGGTTGTGGTGGTACTTGGTTTACAATCAACCCCTATTCCTTCAGGGTTGGTGATGTAGTTGGGTTAGTGATATTGAATGATTTTGGGCTTTTAAATGTGTATTGTATCTGGCTGTAAAAACTAATATTAATTTGTCTATCTTAATGGTGAAAGGTTTAGAGTTTTTTTAGATTATGAATAAGATTATAGTTTAAAATATTTTTTATTTAAAAATATATTAATATAATTTTTTTTATTTTTTAAAAATTATTTTTTATATCAATATATCAAAACGATCTAAAAATACTAAAAAAATATTAATTTTAAACAAAAAAAATTATCTATGTTTTCAAAAATATTAATTTTAAACAAAAAAATTTATTTTTTTAAAAATACAGGTTGAACTATGTTTTTAAATATAGCCTTGATAGATATATTTATAGATTACTAAAATAGATCTTTTCAAGAAAAGATTAGGTCTTTTCAAGAAAAGATTTAGCTATGCAAGACTAGAATAATAACTTAGAAAAGTTATAAAATTAGATCTGACTATTGAATCTTTAAATTTTAAAAATTTTATTTGGAGCTCTAGTTTTAACCATGTTTGTGAATTTTTTTATTATTTTAAATTTTAAATTTATTTTTTTATAATTTTAGATTTTTATTTTATTTCCTTGTTGAAGAAGGATTATGTCTATTTAGATCTTTATAAAAATTATTATTCTAAAAAAATTAATTTTACAAGCATGGAGTTCATACTTCAACTTTTTATTTTATCTTCTCTTCATTTGGAACTTTTCTGCCTTCTGATGATGCAATTACAATCCATCTTAGAATATTATGCTTTTATCTCATTTTCTATCATTAACTTTACTGGCTGGTTGTCGTGCCCTTTGATAGCATGTAAGGTTGATCCAATGCACAGTCTACTTGAGAAAAAAGGGAAATGGACGGCAGATTGCAGGCTTAAAACAACATTAAAAAAAAAAAAAGAGCATTATGATTCTATATGTAGCTTGAAGACGGTCAGCTATAGACGAAAAGACATAATTTTTATGGTCATGATAACCCAATGAAGGTTGATGGATAAGCAAGTTCACCATTTCACAATGGATTTTTATGTCTGTGGAAGCGGCATGGCTTCAACTGTAAAAGGAAACAAAATTTAGCCTGTTAGTTCTTCAAGAACTATCAGAAAGCATGCGCAACCATTTTACAAGGATTAAATTGAAAGCAATTCTTAGTTTATGTTCAAACCACAGATAACGCTAGCAGATGCTTATTTTGGTGATATATTGCTTTGTTTGATAGAATTTGAGATCATGTAAAATGCCCGTAAAGCAAGCCTAACAAGAAGCTTGAGTTAGAGAAATCGGTTTATTGAGACTCCAATGGTGGTTATTATGACTTCTTGGGCTAAAATAGTTTCT